TTTTACCGATAACGATTTTATATATTTGATGTCACCCTGGCAGTAAAAATATGGGTACGGTAATGCACTTTTTAGGCCGCATGTTCATATTTAATCGTGTTGAAAAAACTTGTAACTTTTTGTTTGGTGGTGTTATCACCTCACGGTGACCTGCTACGATACCAAGCTGGAATTTTCACAGTTGCACCTTAAAACAATGAACCAGTTACCCTGAACACGATGAATCATCTTCGGAAGACAATGAGTGTTGGCCTGGTTTGTAAACAATTCTTTGTCTGGGACCATGCAGGGCGCACAGGAAATATAACAGGGCGCTGACAATTTAAACAGGGCGCCAATTTCAGATAACAGGGCGCGGCGCCCTGTAAACACCCCTCATGGAGAACCCTGTATAGCCAAGTGAATCAATGTCAGCAAACAGTTTTTCCAAATAATGTAGATGACCAAATATTTGCTTGATTATTATTTTGTATCTACAGACATGCAGATGTCATGTAAATAATCTCCTGCATATAAGGCAGTATAACTCAATTCAAATTTCACACTACTGAGCATGTTACTGCACATATATGTAATCCATTATGAGAGAGATTGTGCCATTATATTATAATAGAAAACCTGAAAACAGACTAAATTTATGTAAATTTAAAAAAAAAAAATTAATATTCATACAACTCTGAATATGATATATGAATAAGAAATAATCTCTGACAATAGAAACAAAAATAATAATGCCAATTGTGACAATTTTTATGCATATAAAATAAAAAAATGTTCGCTGACCCCCTGCCAAATATTAATTTAATGAAAGTACGACCATGTTCAAATTGGGTAACCCCTTCTTAAAAATGCTTTGACAGTGACATATTTCTTACCTATTAATAAATACATTAGCGCCATGTTTAATAATCTTATCTACTTTGTTTTTCATCTTCTCCTTTTCAGCTAATTCCAAATCAGCAATCTTTGCAGTGGAATCGACTCGTACTCTGGAACCGAAGATCTGTCATTGGAAAATAACAAGTTTGACAATCTGAATATGCATTATAACATAAGTCATCACACTATGTATTCAAATGCTCCCAAAGTGTGTGAAATACAATAATGTTCACAAGATGCTAGATCACAGCAGATGCATTTATTTTATTCGAGGAAGGGATTTCTTATACTGAACACAAAAATTCTTACAAGAATCATGCTCATTGTATGCAAATGTCTGCAGGCCACGGGGTCTGGTATGCATTGAAAGTGATTTAGAACATTTACATCCAGACACGAGAAAGCCTACAATTTACTATCCCTGCATTTATAAATACAAGCAGGCTATGAATAAGCACAACTTGTGAGTGTCTGCAAACAGGGTGATGTTTTAAAAATGTGCAAAGAATGATTACGTTATTTATTATTTCACTACGTTCACCCACAGTGAAAACAGTGTACAATATTGCAAAAACATTCCATATGTTCATGTCACTTGATCACTGACTTTACTCTGTGGTTCCTTGTTTGTATTGAATATCTTCAATAGTATTTAACACTATGACATGACATCATTCAAGGTCACAACAATAAACTTTACCTTGATTTTATCTGCATCCATGGCGGTATTAGCAATAAGAATCTTGGCGTTCTCTATACGCTTGGGTTGATTAACGCCAATCTTCTTGTCTAACAGGAAACCTTCATCAAGTATGGAGTCTAACATGCTACCACCTAGCTTCTTGATTATCTGAATAGCGTTTAAATCACCACTACCCTATATAGACAAGGGTAATGCATATGTCACAACAGAAAACATTCATTGAATAAAGAGTCTAACATGAAACAACATGGCTTCTTGAATAGCAAATAAATACTATTGGTAGAATGTAAAAAATATATGATATCCAAGGGCTTGGAACATACATGTAAGAAAATTATGTCAAATATCACATGTGACTGTTTCACAGCTACTTCAGCAACATATAGGAATGTCTGCTATTTATATAACAATTGATTCGTAGAGTTGTTATATGAATGGTGGTTATTTGAAAATTTTTACAAGATTTTAGGGTGATTTTATCAGCGGTATTACATCTCACAAAAAATTGGCAAGCTGTAAAATGTGGGTAACATTGCATTGCCAAAGGTCTTAAAAAATGGTCTGTTTTCTGGTGCAGCCCGCACAGCGCCCTCTGTTGACAAATTCATTAAACTGAACTATTGGTGCACAGTCAGAAAACAATCAGAACAATTTGACCAGAAATACAGTTTGACTGGAAATTTTTCTTACGAAGACTAAAACAAGCCATAATTTGGATTTTTGCAGATGATCAGTCAGTGATGTTAGAATCACAAAGATCAATCAGATTTGTCGGTTAAATATGCGACATTGAAAAAAACATGGTATTATATTACATGGATACATAAAACTCTTCATCACTAAAATATTTCAAGTTTTGTAAATTACATGCAACTAGAAAATCAGATACAAAGATGAACAGACTAACAGTTCATACTTACCTTCAGTCTTAGCACAGCATCCACAGCTAGATTAGCAAAGAAGTCTTTATGTTGAGTTAGTAGCTTTGAACTTAAAGTTGTCCTGGCAATATTCAATAAATCTTCACGAAATTTAACAGGGTCATCTCTGTGAAATGAACATAATATGAACAAGTCATTGTAACATCCGTGCTGCTATACAAGTTCTGTTCTGTTGTCACACCACACTGTTCTATAAGGACTCCAAGTAAAATACAAAAAGTGATGATTGAAGATTAAAATACAATAACAGTGTGTCATCAAAGCCGATATGACACACCACTGTTCCTTGGCCTTTCATATTGACATACTGTTTCAGTTAATAAAAAACTTTATGCATCATTGTCACAGGGGATTAGGATGGGCATCATTTATTCACAATGAGCCTGCCTACGGGGTTTCAATGTATTAACTACTTCACAATTACCCATGGTCCAAAGCGTTTTCTTCTAAAACTCTTCTTGCTTCATCAACAGACTTTCTCCAGCCTCTGATTACAGTTTGTGGATGAAGTTTACTAGAAACAAGAGTTTCAGCTTCCTGCAGAAGAGAGTAAGTCAGTGTTAACCCCAACTACATGTAATAAGAAGTTATCCATTTTGACAGAATCTGAAACTGTCAAAAATATGCTAAAGGGATGATTTGAGATGTTATATTCGACGAAATTGTCAAAGAACAAAAAAAAAGAGATAAAATAATAAAAAAATTTCCTGTCAAAAAATGGTTGCTTTTCAAGTTGACAGGTACCTAACTAATACACCGTCTGAAAATGACAATTTGCTTTTGAGACACTGAGAATTGTAGGCACATTAGATCATCAAAATATGCAAGGACTCCTTATGCAATTCGCATGCCAACAAAGTGATAGACTTGGATCCTATCAAAATATGCTAGGACTTACCTTAAGCAGCTCGCATGCTAACACAGTGACAGATGTAGTTCCATCGCCAACCTCATCATCCTGTACCTTACTGATTTCCACCAATACCTTGGCAGCAGGATTGTCTACACCGATTGACTTCAATATCGTTGCTCCATCATTTGTCACTTGGATTGCATCAGTAGCATTTGGAGATTGTAAAATTTTGTCCTGTAATCATGTAAGATGACAAATTTACAAAAGGCTCAAATCTAAGAGACGCCATTACGGAGGCCATGCAGGCAATTGCCTTGATGCCTCATCTGTAAGGCATCTATATCAGTCTGTGAGAAGTCTTGTGTAACACAAACTTGCCAGAATTTACTATAATAATCACAATGCTTAAAGATGAACACAAGAAAAGCTATGGAGTCAGTTACCCATCTGAATGTTTTGATGCCCTTAATACTCTCTTCACACACATTAAAAGTTTTTAGAAATTTTGGCTTTGAAATTGGGTGTCCCTTGAACTGTTGTGACTACCATTACTATTAATAGAGTTCCCAAAATAACGTCATCCATAGAAAATAAAAGCAGCAGTAGTATTGCCTTCAACAATTTAGTCCAGGGAAGTGAAATGAGGTCCCTAGGATATACTGAAGTACTATATGTACATAGTATTTCATTTGGTTTCTTAATCTTTACCAGTTGCCAATGAAAAA